TAACGAAAGTAATTTCCCCCTGGAATTATTAAAGTATTTCTGATTCTGATTCTGATCTCATGATTTCTATGTTGTGATTGCACAACAGACATTTCTGACGACATTTTAACTACTCTAAGCAGGTTTTTTTTTTTTAAATCACAGATGTAACTAATAATAAATCATAAAAGTGGCTTCACTCATCCCAACTTGTCAACTGGAAAGGTTAAAAAAGTGAGGTCTTTGATTAAATGTAAATGTCTTGGTCCCATCAGTCAGTGGTCACAAATCAGATTCATCATCAGCTCAGCAAACATAATGTGTGTATTTTCCTTCCGGTCCGTCAGTGAACGGACAATATCCGGAACCTGGGACTCGAACACATAAATGGATTGCAGCCATTATATATTTTTTTAGTTGCACCTGTTTTGGGAGAAATGTAGCTTTGTACATGAATGGATTTGTATGGAGGTGGAGTTTGGAGGCCGTTGTGACCTCTGCTGTGTCTCTCCTGCAGACTGACATTCCAAAACCAGAAGCAGGGGGAGAACAGACTGAACAGGCTGCACAGTAGGTGAGAAAACTACACAAAATAAAACGTTTTGTTCTGTACTTTTTATCAAACAGGAGGAAATTGTGCTTTTCTGTTATAATTAATCCACATTTGGTGCTCTAGTGAGCATTTGGGGCAGCTGGATGGTATACTCTGAAAAACTGGGCAACAAGAAGAAAACTACGTAATTTATATTTATGAAGAAAAAGAATAATGAGTAAAAGAGTGAAGATAATGTGTGATTCATTAGTGTTAAATATCATTTTTTATTTACTTACTTACATAACTAAAACTTATGAAATGAAGTTAGTATTATTAATAATATGATTATTGGTACTATTATCAATCAAATAGACAGTACAGACCTCTGCCCTGTATCTACAGCACTGACCTCTGCCTTGTATCTACTGTACAGACCTCTAACCTGTATCTACAGCATTGACCAATATATTATTATTTGGATCAAATAAACAGTACAGTACCTTCCCCATGTTTCCGGCTGTTCATCCTCCTTCAACGTAATGCAGTTTAGCGTCAACTTTCACACCGCATTTTTTCAGAAATTGTCTATTTGTTATATTTTTGTTAGGCTGCTCTTTCAAAACAACCCCAATGAAAATCCCTCCCATTTGTTTTCTTTTTCTCTCTCAGACTTTCGTCCTCGCCGACCTGCAGTCACTTCCTGTTTCTTCCTGTTCAGTGAGGAACGAGAGAAAAGGAACCTTTACATTTTAGCCGTCGCTCAGCCTTTGACCTTTGACCTCTGATCCTCCCTAACCCCTAAAAGATTATTCATCCACAGTGTGCAACTAAACCTCATTAACCAATAGAAACCATCCTCATCGTCCCTCCTGTTGCCATGGTTACACTGCCTCATACTCCACTCATCGTACACACACTGATGTCAGTTTCTAACACTCAGAAATGGATCTAATATGCAAAAACACTCAGCTGATTGGTCAGTGTGAGATGACATCACCCAAGCCGAGTGTTTGATCCCACCAATATCATACAAGCTCCGCCCCTCCTGTCAATAACCAGGCTAACTCCGCCTCCTGACAGACAACCTTTTAAATGCATGTTGCTTTACTGACACACTTAAAATACTAGAAAACACACACACACACCCACTAATAATCCTTCCTGTAGTTCACACACACACTTCACACACCGCAGTCTGTGTTGCTAATATTAACTGACTTCTTCTTTTACAAAACAACAGAAGTTAAATAAAAATAAGTTTGAAAACCACCTCTTTGCTTCTTCTTCACTGGTTCACTGTTAAATTAAAATAGAGTAACATTCTTATTTATTGTTAACACTGATGTTAGTGTGTGCATTTCATGACGCACAAAAACAAAATACCACCAAATTTAAACAAATATCAAGTATTTACATATATATGTTAGTCTGATTTAACTCAGTGTATTATAATTGGTGAAATAGTGTGGACAGACCATAAGACAGTTACATTGATGTATGTATAGAGTAAAGAGTATCGCATGTGGCCGAGAACAAGAAAAATATTAATGTTGTATTAATGATAGAATATATGATGTAAAAATATTGTTATAATAATACAGTAAAAGAATAATATACTATTATAATAATCATTATAATAATCAGTATTGCTGTATAAACGTAATAAATTAATTTTATTCTGATATTTTACAACTATGTGGCTTCCTGGAGGATAATAATGCTCAAAGTACAAACAATTATTGCTAACTCACATTAAAATGAGCGTACTGAAGGAACATACAGCAGACAGGTCTGATGCAGATTCATTCATGACAGAGGGTTTCTGTCGGGACCTGGTCTGTAGAAACTGGGTCAGTCTGATTTATTTACACCTTCTCCACATCTTCACACTCCACTGCTCTGATCCTGCTCTTTCTTTCAAACACACGCACTCTTCATGTCTGCGAAGCTTCATGTGAAAAGAAAATAATTAAATATATTAAGAATAAAGATATTCCCCCATTAAGGCCACAGTAATTAAATCTATTACATTTTCTCATTAAACAGTAATAATAATCAATAACCTATAATTATTAAACAGTGTATAAACTGTAGAGCTATATTCTATATGGAGTTGATTAAATCAATAATCTACCTGCCTATTGGTAGTTAATTGAGTTATTTGAACACGTGGATGTATTAAAAGAGAAAGGAGACTCATTCAGTCCTGAGATTTCTCTCATGTATTAATTATTATAAGTCGTATTTTGAATAGGGGGTAAAAAGGTTGAGAATTGAATTTGATGGCTGTGCATTGAATTCTGTCTATTCACATTAATGGAAAATGCCTAGATATTTTCCAAAAAGTATCCAAAATTACAACAAAACAACCAAAATACACTTTAGCAGTTATATAAACAGCAGCCTGTGAATGTAGAGAGCGAATGCTCAGTGTGTATTAACACTTTTAAACACAGGGTGGCAGCACTGAGCCAATAAACAGACAGCATACATGCACATGAGCTTGTTATGCATTTAAGTAATGTGTGTGTGTGTGTGTGTGTGTGTGTGTGTGTGCAGGGGCCCCCATGACAAAAAAATCTAATGGACCCCCTCTGCTGCGCAGCTGACTGACTGTCCCATCAAGCTTACATAACTCTAATTAAAGCTTGCAATGTCTTGCTTCTTGTAGTTCAATACTAGATACTAGCACAATATTTACTGCTGGTGATTTGTACATGCATGCAAGTCTGCATACAGTATGCAGTTCACTATTTGATGCAAGATTAAAAACAACCATAAAAAAGGTGCTAAAGCCTTCTTTACAGTCTCCATGTATTTTATTGTAAAAATTCAAAATGGAAAATATCCTCTTTCAACAATGAATCATTAATTATTATTAATTATTATTATAATTATTAATGAAAGATTAAAAAAGAAAACAAACAAAACAAATATATATTAACTTTTCAATCAAAATAAATTAACATCATTTCTCAAACAAACAAAGCAGATTTTTAACTATGTAAATTCAATTTCCACACCAGGGTGTATTATAGGCTACCAAAACAGATCAAGTGATCACTAAATCAAAAGGTTTTGAGGTTTGGAATATGGTCATAACAAACTAACAGTGCCAGTGACATCAATTAAAGGTATGAATAAGAACAAAGGACTCCTGGAAACCAAACTTTCCTCTCAAATAACAGCTCAACACGTTTTTGCAGTCTAGCCATACATCTTGTCTCAGCTTTA